AAAAAAAGAAAAGAAAAAGAAAAAGAAAAATAAGGGCCAGGGATATAGCTCAGTGTCACAATACCTGCCTGGTGAGTGGTGCAAGGTCCTGAGTTCAAGTCCTGGTACAAAACAAAACAAAACAAAACAAAACAAAACAAAACCCACAGCCAGAGAGAAATAACTGTTTCTGATAAAGACCTTATGTCTAAAACACATAACGAACTCCTAAAACTCAATGTTAAGATGACAAACGACACAATTACAAAATGAGCCAAGATTTGAAGAGACATTTCACCAAATGAGATGTATAAATAGGCTAATAATAACATAAAAAACATCAACATGCAGAACCATGAGCGAAATGGAAATTGAAAACACAACATAATATGACTTACATTACTACAATAAAATAACTATAATAAAAAAGACTAAGGAAGATATGGGAAACCTGAAGTTGAGACTGCAAAAGTTATGACCATTTTAAAAAACATTTCAACAGTTTTTAGAAGTGTTACATGTAAACTTAATCATGTAACTCAGAAAATTCCACTCCTGAGTTTCTCCAAGGGAAATGAAAACACATGTCCACCCAAAATACACACAAATATTCACTGGCAGCAGTTTAATGTCCAAATAGTGGAAACAACCCCCAAATGCATTAACTCATGAGTGGATTAACAAAAGGTAGTACTATATAATGGGACACTATGGGCTCTCTTTTTTATTGCTGTTATAGTATATATCCAGATGTTCACCCCAAAGCTTTATGAGCTCATTGGAGGGGTTTTGCAAGGAGGTGTGTCACACTAGGAGTGTGGCTTGGAAGGGTTTATTTCCCTCCCTCCTCCTGTGATTAAGCTGCTTCCTGCTGCGATGGCACGAGCAACCTTCTTGGCCATGCCCTCTGCCATGCTGCCCTGCCTTGGAGCCAGCTGACTAAGGGCTGAAACCTCTACAGAGTGTGAGCCAAAATAAACCTCTCCTCCTTTAAGTTGTGGTTGTCCTATAGACAAGAAAGTAACTATGACAGCTTCACAGAGTATTTTATTATTGTTTAACCTTTAGAACAATTTTCCCTTGATGACTAAATATGTTCTATTTTGTGGAATATTCTCTTTTATTTGTCAGTGGTTATAAAACATTTTATTAGTATTTACTTTTACAGAGTTATGTATCTTTTCTTCCCAGTTACTTTATAAATGAACCATGAATCCTGTTTTAGCTAGTTAATATTGCATATTAATCATTGTGTTTTTGAGATTCTATCTACCTTTTATCCTATTTTTAGGACATTTTTATGTGAGGGGGGCAAATTATAATGGACAAAATTGATTTAAAGATGAAACGATGCTGCTTTTAGGATGTATGACAAGAGCTGGAAAGTGCAAATGAGTAGCCAGACCGACTGGTTTCAGACCTAATCCAAACTATATCAGGGAACTGGGGAAAGAGGAGGGAATCTACAGAGTCCAACATGGGAAAAGTCCTACAAGCTAGCAGCAGTTTGTGATGCTAGGGATCACAAAAGTATGGAGATGAGCAGAGCCCAAGGCCTTTCTGGGATTCTGAAGGGACCTGGGAACTCAGATGCCTCAGCCACAGAGCTGGGAGTGCTGTTGTAAGAATTGGGGCTGTCTGTGATGGGATGACCACCCATCGCCCAGGGCTCGTACAAGTGGAGATGAGGACATTCTTCCATGCAAGGTCAGCCTCTGAAACACAGTGTCAACCTCAGGTACAAGAAAAGGGATGAGGGTCTGTGAGGTTCTGGCTCCAGGGCTGGCCTAGAAATGG